TATTGAATTTGTTATAGTTATTTAAGCTTTTTATTTTTAATTAATTAGGAACTTGAAATATAATTTTTTGAAAAAGTCATGGCCATCTACAAAAATTTTAAGTATTTTCTGAACCGAAATTTTAAAGAGTCTTGTATTTAACGTGGAAATTTTCCAAATGTGTAATCCTCAAAGCGAATCCTAGCTGAATATGCTATTTTAATTTAAAAAAGTGTTAAGTTAAAAAAAAGTGTTTATGTAAAATGTATAGAACTTTATAGGCACCAAATGAAGATTTTTCGTTAAATCACAATATTCGGAATTTTGAATTACCCGTCTAGAAGGTATTATAGAGCATCTCTCTGAGCCAAAAATATAACTTTTGTATTAATTTTATTACAAAGTAATAATACAAAGTAACCCTTTTGTCGAACACTTGTAACCAAGTGGTCACTGAAAGCCAATTTTGTGGGGATCATGTTATTAAAATGGACACTGCTAAAGTGTTACAGAGAGACTGATTTTTTTATTCTGTTAATAACATCTGTCGGACTGAAACTGTTTGAATCAAGGAAAGCTAACTTCGGGCGGAGCTGAAGTTGATATACCCTTGAAGTTAGAACCGGATCGGATATAGATGGTCGAGCCTTATGAATATATAATATAACCAATTCATTACAGTACAAAATCTAAAAAAAGCCCCAAACATCCAACTTCAAGAACACCAAAGTTTGTATTTTTACCAAATACCATTTTCAATCGATCAGTTATATGGCAGTTAAAAGACATAGTCGGTCGATGGTTATGAAGTTTCGTAAGTGGGATCAGCTGAGCCAAAATAGAATTTAAACGAAGTTTCAGCAAAACACGAAAGCTATAGGATATAATCGGCCGATCTTTATGAAATTTGGTGGGTCGTTTAATTTGGTAGCCAAAATAGAATTCGTACAAGATCCGAACTCTCTTACTCTAAAAACACCGAAGTTATACCATTTGCGATCAATCAATTATATGGCAGCTATACATTGCTCTTCTGAAGTCGTGGGTCTGATCCCGGCTGTTCCGACTTATACACTACGTGCATATAATTATATACTACGTGCAAAGGAAAGAAGGATGTGTGCAAAGTTTCAAGTCGATAGCTTTAAAACTGAGAAACTAGTTTTCGTAGAAACAGACAGACGGACATGCTCATATCAACTCAAGAGGTGATCCAGATCAAGAGTATATATACGTCTTATCCTCAGCAAGGGTATTAATATAATAAAAAACAAGAAAGGACGGCTTTAGTCAAGTTTCTCGACTATATTTTCCAAAATAGACTATATTTTATAAAATAGTCAAAGTTCCAAACATTCCGTACTGGCGCCACGATTTGTGGGAGAGGGATGGTGAAGGATTCTGCATGCCAAATCCTATAGCTCTATCTCTTATAGTCTCTGAGATCCACACGTTCATACGGACAGACGGACATGTTTATATCGACTCGGCTGTTGATAATGATCAAGAATATATATACTTTATGGGAGAGGAGATGATCCCCTCTCTATGTTAGAATGTATGTAACACGACTGCAATATACCCCTCTATTCTACGAGTACCGTTTATAAAAAGTGTTTCGATCAGAGGTAAATAACAATTTTTGCAATTTAAGGGTATTTTTTCTATACAGACAGCATTAAACAAATTAAATGTGCAAGCTCTGCTAAAATGTATCTGATACGGAACAATGAAAACATTTGAAATTGCCATTGACCTGTAAAGGTTTATACACAAGTAAAATTTATTACAGATTGAAAGAGTATGCGTATGTGTACGTTCTCAAAAATACATTTGAAATCCGATTTTACCCAGTTTTTATGAGGGAACTCCAGACACATAATATGAGTGGAGCCTACCGTTTGCAGCATTTTGAGGCGGCGAGTAGAACATAAAAAGCAGCGTGAGATTGTTAGCTTCAGTCTGGTTGAGACTTTCTTTGACTTTTAGTTGGTCGTGTAGAGTTAGCTGTAGTGGTATTGCGCGGTCTTTGCACTTTTTTAATTTAATTAATTTTTTGTGTTTTATAATTCAACCCTTTCTGATGGCGGACGATAAAAATATTTTATTGTCAGACCCACGACTTCAGAAGAGCAATGTATTTTATACCACGTCGGCTGATTTCGCTCAACTTCTCACTGACCAAAAATAAATTGTGACGCTTCGACGATTTTTAAACAGTAAGCATTTATGTTACTCTTCAACAACCATTTCTGTTTTTCTTAAGGACGCTGTTAACTTGGACCTTTTTAACGGAAGGCTTTCAATTTAGAGGCGCTGATTATAACCTACCTGTGGGATAGCTAAGAAAAAAACTTTCTCAATACTTTAATACTTTTTTTAATACTCAATATTTTTGTAATATTCCAAAAAGGAAGCCACGGAGCGAAATGATATTGCCTTATTGCACTTATCAATGTAGAATAACTTGGTGGCAGCGGACTTGTACAAAAAATTCAATTACTTACTCTGGGTGTCTAATCCCGAAACAACGGATTTATAAACAGATCGACTTAAAGACAACGGATACGCAGCATACGAAGTATACACTGGTCAGTTTTGTGAGACACTACATAGAAAACTACATAGTCCACAATGAAGAGCTTTCAGATCCATGTAAACGGAGGAATATGAGATAAAGTAAAACAAATCATTTAAGGAAAGCCAAAGTTCTGAAGTCAAAACCAAAAAGGATTGGTATTAATGAGTTTGCTCCCTTCTCTTCCAACCACATCCTTTTTACTGTTTTTTTAATTCAACTAAACATATGGAGCGTTTGGTTTGTACAACATATGGTTTATACTAAATACATAAGTATAAATTTTGTGGCATACTTTTGTCTGTTACAAAACTCAAACTGAATAAATTTATTACAAAAGCTTACAAAAAGTCTATACCTCCTATTAAAGTCATCAGATATGGATAATATGGTGTATAAATAACTTAAAAGTAGTTACTGATATATAAAAGTCATGGAAGGTGAGATTAAATTGGAAAAACACAATATGTGTTATGCTTTATCTTCATTGAAGGATGTTAAAGTCAAGGTTCTCAAAGCTTTTAATGAAGGAATTGAATTTTTTAAACTAGCCATTTCAGTTTTACAATAAAACGACAACCTAAATACTTAAGAATACTGGGCAGATTCGACCGGCTCAAGGTAAAAAGTAAGGTAATTTATATGCTTCGAGCACTTATTTGATTATTTTTTATAAAATGGGAATGTTTAAAAATAAAAGTTGGGTGATATCAATATAATTAAAAATATGTTGTCCTTAGAAGTAAAAATTAATCACCAGGTGGTTGCCACATGTAATTTATATGATATATGGCCTTTTGATATTCGGATACACTCGTCGTAAACTTGTATGCTTTTGTATGCTTTATTTTATTTTTGTTTATCATAACTCGACTGTGCGTCTCTTTTTTTTTGACAAAACATGGATTTATTTTATTAGATGGAAATGACGCTTGCAGCGGAATTCCAATTCACCCCGCGACCCGAACCTCCCACCCGATTTACAGACAGTGCATAGGGCATAAATTCGGCGCTGCACAGACCGCCTCCCCTCTTGTCATATTTGACATCTCTAGTATAAATCAACGGGAAATGTGGGAACGGTGGGGGGCGAGCCACTGCGGGGCCCGATGTGATTAATAACGCCGAGCATCAGTAAGTAGAGGCAAGGCGGCAGCCATGGAAAAACCGCCGGAATGAAACGAAATGAAACATTACGGCGGAATGGATTGTGTATGACTTGACATGGTGACCGCCAAGCGCATCCCGCACCCCCTTTCACGGGCCGGGGTCTGTCTGCGCGAGTGCCATCGGAGCCAGCGGTTCCAGCGATTTCAACGGAGCGAGGCGATAGCGCCGATGGAGACGGGAATCAGCCCCGCAATTTCCATCAGCTTCTCGCAGCAGAAGGCGCAGATAGTACGACCCTGTTCCATATCAAGCCAACATCGGAATGGGCATCGGCCTGAGGCACTTGCTGACTCCCGATCTGACTATCATGCTGGGTATTTTGAAATATGAAGCGGTAATAAATGTCACAAGAATCATTTGGGAGGAAATGCGAATGACGGGCGTGACTGGTAAGGGATTTATGGCACACCGAACGTAAAAAGCGCATTCGAAAGCTGAGTGCGGCTGAGAATTTAACGGTTATTTGGCTCCCTAGCAGGTGTTGACCTTTTTCCTTGCCTCTTGCATCCTGGCCTCGATGGCTTGCCCGTAATTTTTTTTTGCTAAATTCACTGCTGCCACACAGAAATTATATAAAAGTTAACTGCACCCCAAAATTTCGTTTAATTATAACCGTATTCAGTGAATTTTGTTGCTCTCAGTGAAGAGTTTTAGCGTGATAGTGGCGGCGCGTGAAATCACATTTCTTATGCGGTAGACTCGGCTGGTGGCTTGCAGGAATCACAGACTAAGGAACGGCTGCGGCGAAACCACCCAGGCGAAGAGTGTCAGCAAAGCTTCACATCTCACCCAAAACTCATAGCCCAGCTAGCGTGCAGCTTAGCTGCAGCTCCATTCTTAGGCAGAGTGAGCGTTCTTGAGAATGCGGCGAAAAGCAAACAGCAGAACACACGCAGGGCCACTCAGGCTGGTGTGCTCCGATGGGCGGGCGGCCAAATTTACGGACGGCGGACGATCAGGGTACTGCCGTCTCCGTTGCGGTCTGCTTCTTCTTGCATTCCAATTCTCGATCGCGTTCACATTCGCACGAGTTCAGCCTTCGCACAGTGGTGCAAAACAATGCCGGGTAGCACATGCATAAATACTTCACTCGCGTGTTTAGAAATCATTTTCTAGTCAATGTCGTGGCATGCAGTTGCGGCTTTATCTGATTCATCAGGCCCATGGCTCGGTTTCTCAACAGCTTCTAAGATTCTGAAGGAGATTTCCGCCACTATTACTACTCGAATAAAATTTTCTGAATGGAACTGGCTTTGGTTTGGCGTTTGCTTACCTATAATAATCGTTTTTGCAATAAATGTTGCCGTCACGTGAGTAGCAAGACGATTCCCGTTCCAGCGGTTGTCGGCAGGCGTAGCACTGCAAGCAACTAGCGTGCCATCGTTTTTCCACGGCGGAGAGGTAGAAGCGATCCTATGGAAAGACCAAAATATAAATGCCAAATTTAAATTTGCTCGCACTTACAGAAATGTCCAAATCAACTATCGAAGAATTAGTTATGTAACTTTACGAGCTATCTAGTATTTCACGAGAAAAACATGTATATACATATTTTAGTCAGTCTGTATGAAAAGGAAAGCTATAGTCGAGTTTCACGACTATATTATACCCGGGACTCACCATTTCTTGCCACACTTCAACTGAATTTTAAAGTATGGACACTCAGTGATTACAAAAATTTCATACTTTTGTGCTCGGGGAAGCAATCTGTGAAGCAACTCCTCCCGAAATTGTCCGCTTGGGCTAAATTTTGATTTGTAGGTAATTAGGGAAAGGTATTGGAAAAGTGTGGCATCAAAACAATTTCAAATAACTTGTTAGAACTGGCGCTACAACAAGATTTCAGTTTTGGGCACAAAGTCGATCTGGATGGATACCAAGGACCGTCAATACGGACAGATGGTCATGGCTATATTGACTTAACTGTTGATGCTGATCAAGAATATATGTATATACCTAATAGGGTCGGAGATGATTCCTTTTCTATGTTACTTACATTTGTACGAATGCAATATAACCTTGTACTCTACGAGTATCGGGTATAAAAATGTAACGCTATACGATTAGCAGGTACATGTCTATGTACAATTTATGTTTAGAAAACAATATTCCGCTAAATATTGTTATTTTTATACCCTTGCAGAGGGTATTATAATTTTGTCCAAAAGTGTGCAACGCAGTGAAGGAGACATCTATAAAGTATATATATTCTTGATCAGGATCACCTCCTGAGTTGATATGAGCATGTCCGTCTGTCCGTCTGTCTGTCTGTCCGTCTGTCTGTTTCTACGCATACTAGTCTCTCAGTTTTAAAGCTATCGTCTTGAAACTTTGCACACACCCTTCTTTCCTTTGCACGCAGTATATAAGTCGGAACGGCCGGGATCGGCCGACTATATCCTATAGCTGCCATATAACTGATTGATCGGAAATGGTTGTTAGGAAAATCACCGGAAATGTGGTTTTTTGAGTTAGGGAGTTCAAATTTTACATGAAAGCTATTTTTGGCAAAATAATACGACATGCCAAATTTCAAAATTTCAAAATATAAAAGTCTAAGAAGGGTGTGTGCAAAGTTTCAAGTCCAAAGCTTTAAAACTGAGAGACTAGTTTGCGTAGAAACAGACAGACGGACAGACAGACGGACAGACGGACATGCTCATATCAACTCAGGAGGTGATCCTGATCAAGAATATATATACTTTATAGGGTCGGAGATGTCTCCTTCACTGCGTTGCACACTTTTGGACAAAATTATAATACTAGACGGACAAAATAATAATAAATTTAAAAAAATACATTATACCCTTGTACTCTACGAGAACCTCGTATAAAAATAAATGTACATTACACTTACCTGTATTTGCCGGCCACATCCAGCGCATTCATCGAGGTTTCGCGTTATTTTGCTATCGTTGGTGGACTCTGGACTGCTGGGCGGCCCAAACGGTTCAGTTTTGAATGATATGCCCGACGTTGTCTCATCACTGATCTCCGTGCAGTCAGTGCGACTGCGACTGATTGAAAATTTGGCTGTTGAGTCTTCGAAAGTGGCTCGATCGGCGGTTTCATAACTAGAGGAAAAGTAAATTCGATGATGTATATAATTGATGTACATTTTTGTTGGAGTGTTTATAATACCGTCTGAATGAATCGGTGTTGTATGCATTGCCGAAAGGCTTTGTACTGTGATCACAAATATCTGGACACGAGGATGAGGAGCATGTGCGGAACAAAGGATGATTGGTACTTGCACCTGCAGCACTGCCACAGTGGTTGCTCCCTTGATGTGCTACAGGTGGTGTCGGACTTTTTTCCCTTGCGCCGGGCCCAAGAAATCTTGCGCTCTGCTGCTGCAATATTTAAAAGTAAGAAACTTGTTAAAACCCCAATATTTTTGTGCCTTAAATCCAAGAACGTTGCGGTTAAATCAAAAATCAAATAAAGGATGTACTGAATTATAAATGGTGCATATAATTCTAAATGAAAAAAGCGGCAAATCCAAAGGAAAGGAAAAAGTTCGTTTCAATTAGGAGCAAAAAATTTCTGCGTAATTCCAAGAAAAAGATTCGCGACATTGAGAACTGTGAACATGTGAAGAAAATGCAGGGAGGAACCAAAGTAGCTACTGTTGCAACAAAACGCATCCCATGCCATGCCATTTCACCTCCTTTCCCAGCGTTCGTGCGCAACATGTCCCCAAGCTTATTCATTGAAGCAGCAGATCCCTTCAATTTCGCGGGGTACCGGCCATCGAGCCACTCCCCTCCACTGTGCATCTGTTTACTTATTTTTGATTAATTAGTAGAAAATAGATTACGACTGGTGCCTCCCTTCACACTCCCTGCGCCTCAAAATTTTGTTCACTTCGCCAGCGAATTTTGTGTAGAAGATTTTCGGAAAAACCGCATTTTTAATTGTATAGTCCGGGCACAAGACATTATAGTGAGGGAACACGCTGTTGATTCAAATGTATGAACTGGATTGTACAAGTGCCCGATTTTAAACCACGAATTTAAATATAACAGGTAATACCTACATAAGCCTTCTTTTAGGTTTGCATAGATTGACCAAGACTTTTTGCAAATAAACACATGGCCACTCGCATTAGGAAAGAAACTTACGAATTTAGTTGGCTTACAATTGAGTAAAATACTTCAGTTTCTCATAAAAAAATAAAATTTTAGAATATCCAGGAATTTAAATAATACTATATGATAGGATTATTATTACATATGTCTATAAGCAAGTTTCTTTTTTATATTCAGATCAAATTTAGGAAGTGTAACGTTTTTGTGAAAATTACATCTCATTGCAATAAATACATATACATACATATATGTACTTTTGAATAGATATTAAAGAAGAAAGGCAAAGATATAAGATAAATATTGATCATATTGTAAAGTCGGTACCAAACAAATTTCTTATGATAAGAGTTTTGAAAAAAATTTCAAGTCTTTGCACAAACGTTAAAGTTATGCAGTTTCCGACTGTTTATCGTTCTCCTTATTTTCAATCTCCAAAGGCTTCAAATTCAGATTGGAATTTCACCCTGTTCTAACATTTATAAAATAATCACTATTAATTTATTAAAACAAAAAGGATAAAAATAGTTCACAAGAAACTGACATTTTTAAATTTTTGTCGTGTTTTTCGGACTTTGACACCATTTTTTCGGTACAACTTACAAGATATAGTGTAATTTTTAAAAAATATCAATATTATGAAAAAATGAAAATTTAAAATGAAAAACGAAATTAAAATTGTTAAAGTTATAACGCTTTTCTCAAAACAAGTCAGTGCAATTTTACTAGCGCTTAGGAGTACACATTGATATGTGTCTTGTAAGTTCTACCACCAATAAGACACAAATTTTAAAATGTCCGTTTCTTGTGTAAAATTGGTATCCTTTTTTTAAAAATAAATTAAAGATCTATTTTTTTTTTTAAAGCTACAACATTTAACTATTGAAAAACGTCGGAAATTTTAAAATCGGCTTTAAATTACGCGTTTAGGAATTTTTGAGAGCAAAAAAGTTCCGAAAAACTGTTTTTTCTAAATAAATCAAGATTTGAGGGTAGTAGAATTATTTCAACTACGGATTTGTACTATATTCGACCTAATAAACAATTCCTAGGTCTCTTCAAAAGTTCCTCCAATTTGTTTTTTGCTGCACTGTGTAATCTTTTTGGAAAACACCTACATAGTGGTCTAGATCTAAGGTCTAGGGGAAGTAATTTCAGATTGGAAAAGAACGCTTAACATTAAATATTAAATTTTAATATTAAAATATATGTTTTTTTTATTTGAAAGGCTAATAAAAGAAACATTAAAAGAAAAATGTCATTCCAATTGGATATTCTAAAAGATATTTTATCCAATACGATAAAAGAAACGAATAAATTCATAAAAATCAAACGTTAAAACGTAAAACCATAGATTAAGTTGTGCATTAATTTTAAATAGAATTTCATTTTGAATTTTATTTTAAATTTTTTTTAGAAACCTTCACGTAAGGTAAGTTGGCGTCTAAGGGTTTTAAGGTAACATTAAATTTTCAAATGGATCATGAAATAAATTGAATAATAAGAAGTACGGAAACATAGCTTCAAAGTTAATACACCTACAGTTAGTGGATGTTTATATTAGACAATATTTATACATAGCATTGGATATACATATATCGCAAATATCATACATATTTGGACTATCCTTATAAGTTTAAATGAATTCCTTATAATATAAAATTTGACAAAATCTCAAGCTATGCAGTTTTGAATCAAATTTTTTCAAAAATAACACCAAAGTACACTGTAGACTTGTACTTTTACACTGTGCGCAAAGAAAGGACTGTGTGCAGCCGATAGTTTTAAAACAAAGAGACTGAGAGAGAAATTTGGGAAACACCTGCGTTGGGAACTTTTGATATTTAGCTAATCTAATTATTTAGTATATTTAGGCCTATTCGATGTTAGTTTCTTCATCTACTTAATCAGCCACCGACGGTGATTACATAATTTCGTAAACATATTTCCCAAAAAAAATCTCTAATTGGTAGATCTTTATAAAACTTATTTATGTATAATATCAGTCGAATATTAGTTACAGATTTTTGTCTCAGATTCATAGTCCTACAAAACAATCGATGCTTTTTTTTTATTATTTTTTTTTTTTGTATTTTAGAAGATAACAAAACTATGAAATATCTTCAATTATTTCACAATGACTAATTAGCTTACTGGATCATTCTTCTACTTGTGGATTATTATTTATAACAAGCTTAAAAAAAAGAAACTGTATTGTATTTTCACCCATGGGAAAATATGGGAATTGGTTTTGGTACTTGATTATAATGTCCCGCCCGCAATAATTATGGGTAAAAATCCTTGGAAATTGGAAATTTGGATTTGGAAAACAATTTTACTTTATTCATTCTAAAGTTTACAATATGTATAAGAAGACTTTAAAAACAAACTTTAATTTTTTTGTTTTTAATTTTTTGAAGAATTTAGAAAAATTTGTGATAGCGGGTTAGCGAAAGTACTGCGGACTTCTGTGACCCTAGAAAATCATAGAATCTGACCTTTGCTATTACTACGACAGTGATGATGCACACAATTAAAACAACAACGGAAGCAAACTAAAATCAGAATTCTGAGAAATATTTATTGAATGGAATTGACAAGGGTTTTCTTATCTGTAGTGTGGAACGGCAGCTGTGGCCTCTGCCCAGACATTATCTTTGGGGCAGGACCAACTAAGGCATGCAGAGGGCAGTTGTCTAATCGGACTAGAACTGATAACTCACATTAGCCCTGGCTGGGACCGATATAAATAAAAAACAAGAAAGGAAAGCTAACTTCGGGCGGAGCCGAAGTTTATATACCCTTGCAGTTAAAACCGGATATATATCGCAAACATCGGATATAGTTGGCCGATCCTTATGGGAATAGGAATATATAATCCAATTTATTACAATACAAAATCTAAAAAAAGTCCCCAACTTCTATCTTCAAAAATACGAAAGTTGATATTTCTACCAAATACCATTTCCGATCGTTCAGTTATATGGCAGCTATGGGATATAGTCGGCCGATCCTAATGAAATTTGATAGGTTGGATCAATTGACTAAAAATAGAATCTGTATTAAATTCCAGCTTTCTATCTTCAAAAACACGAAAGTTGGGTCATTTCCGATCGTTCAGTTATATGGCAGCTATAGGATATAGTCGGCCGATCCTTATGAAATTTGGCATGACGTAATGTTTTGCCAAAAATAGCTCTCATGTCAAATTTGAACTCTCTAACTCTAAAAACACCAAAGTTATACCATTTCCGATCAATCAGTTATATGGCAGCTATAGGATATAGTCGGCCGATCCGGGCCGTTCCGACTTATATACTGCGTGCAAAGGAAAGAAGGGTGTGTGCAAAGTTTCAAGACGATAGCTTTAAAACTGAGAGACTAGTTCGCGTAGAAACAGACAGACGGACAGACGGACATGCTCATATCAACTCAGGAGGTGATCCTGATCAAGAATATATATACTTTATAGGGTCGGAGATGTCTCCTTCACTGCGTTGCACACTTTTGACCAAAATTATAATACCCTCTGCAAGGGTATAATGATTCAGCATTCCCATTCGTAGAAATACAGAATAGTTCAAAACGTTTCAGTCTAACTCTTTTTAACTAAGAGGAACTTGCAGTCACAGAACTTACCCAATGCATCACAGGGCGCTCCTCGGTGCAGACGCCCATGTGCGTCTTTTGGAATGACACGAGGTCTATTTCCAAGGATGAGGTTAGTCTGGCGTCTTATGTTTATCGTAAGGCGTTTTGCTGAGTCTGGAGCACGTTGTGCCACCTAAGAAAGTGTATAGCTAAGACGATCCCGGGTAATCCTCTGTGTGTTGGTATTGGGTTTTCCCTTATGCGGATTCAAAGTATCACTGGGAACACTGGTCGCTGCTTTATGAATACTACTGCCGATTGGCACTTGATTTACGATCGCTTCGGCTACCAAAAAGCATCTTATATCACGGTTTTGGTCATTTTATGGGCAGCTTTTTTGGAATCGAGATGGAGAGCTGCTTTTTTATTTACTTTATAAATATTTTTTTACCGATTCTTCTTTATTTAACTTCGTTTCAGAATCAAGGTAATTTAAGGAACATTAGGATCACACATAAGCACTACGGAACATTCACTGAAACACTTGACTCTGCAGCAGGTAGGATGATGGGGATCATTAGGTGACATTACTGTCTTCCAAACGAAAACCGATTTGAGCCGATTTGGGATGGCGAAACTAACGGCAGGAAAGGACACCGGTTGCAACGTCAACCGCAGGACAGGCAGAGGTCCCAATTAATTTATTATGTCATTAATTTATGAGACTGCGCTCAGACCCAAATTAAGTGGTAGTAGTCTACTATTTTAGAGTCGGCATGCCGCATCAGTCTGGGTATTCAGACCTTTCTCAGGGTATTCTACGGCAATCCGAGATACTTGCTACTGATAAGGCTTATGAGGAGGTTGCTGCAAACGATCGTCAACTCCTTTGAGGCGACTGTAGCCGCCGACTGATAGCTCAATCCACGTCCGCCGGTACGCTCCAATAGTCGCGGACGGTTTCACAAAATTAAGTCACAGACGCCCAGCCTGGGGCTGCTCGCGTATGTATATGTACGACCCGAACTCGACTTCACTCGCATTAAAACTGCACCGGTCTGCTGACGGACGCGAAGACAACCACTCGCCCAAGCTGCGTAACTGGGAATGTTTGAATGTTTGCCAAGAACCCGACCTAAGCGCCAGCAGCCGATACGTAAACCCTCCCTGTGGGCGCGTTTGTATTTGTGTTCGTGTCTGCGCACACCTTGGGAACGTGACTCTTGCTGCCCCGTTTCTACTCGCACTGCGGCGCGGGTGCTCTCTCTGTGGCAAATGGCGGCGTTCTCAGCTGATTGTGCCTGTATGTTGTGCTCGCTCTGACGCACAGTCTCTGGCGCAAGAGGGCGTGGTATTACTCCCCCACCCATTCTCCCAACACGGTGGGGATTGGGTGCGATGGCTGCTGCCAAAGATGAATAATGCAACGGCAGAACTCAAGAGAAACAGAAGCAAAGCAGCAAATGTGGATAAGCAGCGACAGTGGTGGTGGTCGGCATTTTTGGATGGAATAGAAATGGATCTAGATCTGGACTTGAAGCCGGATCTTGAGCCCGTGACAGAAATTTTGCACCGCTAAGATATGTATGTACATATGTTCGTAAAACAGCTCTGTATTTATGTTTGTATAAGTGAACGATGTATGTATGTATGTACGCCCTTCCAAGCAGAGCCGCGCACACATAGTCCCCCACACTCGTTGCGGGCTCCATTTTTTTGTTTGTAATATTGTTGCTGCTCCCTTTGACATTGTTGTTGCCTTTACTTAAGCTTAGGGATGTGTGCGACCGCCTTATGCGCCACCGGCGACCACGGCCCACCGTACAAGACAGACGAGTTAAGAAAATCGAGCAGGCTTTATTTATTCTAATTTTTTCTGAGACCTGCCATTTTTTTTGTTTACTTCTTTCTTTTAGCCATAAGAGGACCTTGTAAAGTAAAAACATCAATTTTCAAATGCGTTTTTCTCGAAACCATGTTTTAAGAGGAAATCCTAAAGGTCGCGAAAATTGAGTAATCGCCATAAAATCTGTTCCTCAGTAGAATCTGCATCCGTAGTACCAAAGTTGATTGAAAATTTTTAAAGTCATTCTTTTTCATTTCATTTGTTTTTCATTCCCTCAGGTTCTAAAGTTCAAGTTCTATAATTTTGTTACCAGGTTTTGTCCGGTATCAAAATTATAGACGCATTTAGTGTTTAAATTTTTATGATATATATGTATATGTATGCTTGATATATAAATGGTTGATATACAATGGTTGATAAAAAAAATATTAAAAAATTTTATTTCTACTTTTTTTTTTGGAAAAATTTTAGATTACACGTATTTTCAGTTTCGTTTTTAAAATTTAATATTCCTTGTATATTTTTTATTTTTATGGACACCACTACGAACATGGTGTAGTTTTTGCGTCTGCAGAAATAACGGAGCTGTTATCCCACTCCACCAGCCAAGTTTTTCATGTGCATATTTGTGTATATATGTACATACATATATGTATGACGTAAAAGTATACAGATTCAGGCAACATATTCCCATATGGCCTTTGCCATACTGGGCCAACTTGTCTTTTGGCTTCAATTTTTGGATCTACTTTTTGGTTGGAAATGCACTGAGGATTTTATTTTCCAGATTTTGTCAAAAAAGTCATAGTTGGATGGGAAGGAAACAAGAAGACACGGATCCTTCAGTCATACATTCATATCTAGGATATGAATGCAAAGCAATGAGTTCTTATTACGTTGAAGCTCTACAACATAGCAAAGCCTAATATCAGATTTTCATATTTATGTACATAACCGTCTGATTCACGTTCACACCTACTGCATCAGTTTTCGTTGTGTTCTTTGCAACGGTTTGTAGGGCATAAAAACCCCACACCCACACCCACTCCACAACCACCCCACCCTAGACTCAACCTCCACTCACTCCCACACCCTGGGCAATTCGTCCTTTGTCTCTCACCCTTCCCCTCCCGTCTGAACCTGGCTACGCACACAAAGCTGCTGTAGCACCAACAAATAAAACAGCACACCGCACTCCAAGTGAAACGTAAACTTTGACAAGCATTCCCATGCGGAGGAGGGATTGGACAGAAGGCTGTGGGCACGGGAAAGAGACAAAGGGACAGAAGCAGCAAGGCTTACGTAGTGTTCCTGCGAAGTTTCAACGCGAAAATGTTTTTATGTTTCTTTATGCGAGGCACAGGCAAAAGAATTTCTAACGTACCAAATACCCAACCGTCTACCTCTGTCGACTCCCCCATGCCAGTTTCTACCACAGAAGCTAAATAGACAGAAAATTGTACACAATATTCTCAGCCTGCATTTTTCAATTCGTTGCCTAGCATCATTGACTGAAAGCCTGAAAGGCAAAGAACATGTGCGTTGAGTGGCGGTGCCGCTTAGGCCCTGGTGCTCCCGGCCCCCTTTCCACAGTAAAGGACCAGCGCGGCTAAAATGGGGTTGTTCTAATTTAAATGTTGCGATCTAAAATTCTGTGCTTTCTGCATGACACATTGGGGGTTGAATGAGCCGCGCACAGTACCTAAAAATGTCAAAGACGTTTTTGAGAAATCCGTGTATCTTATTCCGTGTAACTTTTCGGCGAGCATCGAAGATTATTTCAACCTTTGTATTTCCAAAATTGTATTGGTATGTACTGTAGATCAGCACCATCATGGTGCATGAGTACCATATTAATCTTTATGCCATACAAAATATATTTTATGCAATATGTAATATTTTATGCAAAATATTAAAAACTAATGTCATCTATATACTGAAATATCGGCCTGTCATTTATAACGTAAGCGACAAACACTTTTTTTAGTAGCCGCGAATCTTCCCGACGATGGTATACCCGGTACTCATCTCTTCCACCTACAATTTAACTAGACTTTATATTTCAAACTTAATGTATGGATTCTTAGCAACAAGTTTTTGTTTCATACTTTTGCGCTTGATCTTGAAGTTCCAAAGTTCTGATAGTTCTATCTTTTAAAGTCTTCGAGATCGATGCGTTCAAAATGTAAGCCCGTTTGTGTGGGAAAAAGTATATATATATATATATATTCCTATAGCTCTATCTTTTATAGTCTCTGAGACCCACACGTTCATACGGACGGACGCACAGACGGACATGGCTATATCGACTCGACTGTTGATACTGATTAAGAATATATACTTTATGGTGTCGGATGATGATGATGATGATTCCTTCTCTATGTTACATACATTACCACGACTACAATATACCCTTGTACTCTACGATTACCGGGTATAAAAACCCTCTCCTGTAGAATTTTGCTTTTTGGCTCTTACGTTATTTTTGCAAATATGGATCAATTTTTACATCCAATCAAAATTCGTGCAAAAACAAGATCTCATTCCCATGTACATGTATAATACATTCATCAAAAAATCCCAAGCTTCTTTCTCAAAAAATAACAAAGTTGGTATCTTTACCAAATACCATTTCCGATCGTTTGGTTATATGGCAGCTATAGAATATAGTCGACCGAAGGATCTGTATGAAGTTCTAACCTTCTATCTTTAAAAACATAAAAGTAATTTGGTATGTCGTATTATTTTGCCGAAAACAGAATACCAACTCTCTAACTCTAAAAACACCAAAGTTATGGAATTTCCGAACAATAAGTTATATGGAAGCTATAGGATATAGTTGACTGACTATATCCGACTATATAGTTGACCGGCCGTTCCGACTTATATACTACATGGAGAAAAGGATGTGTGCCAAGTGTTAAGTCAATAGCTTTAAAAATAAGAGTCTAGTTTGCGTAGAAACAGACAGACGGACATGCTTATATCAACTCGGAGATGCCTCCTTTATTGACTAAAATTATAATACCCTCTGCAAGGGTATAAAAACTTAAGTAGAATGATCACCCCGAGCCTTTACGGGGAGTCCGAAGTCCCCACACTTCTGTCCCCAATGTACAATATATACATAAAAAGTGCACATTTATAAGTTGATAAATAGTTAAAACTTATGTTGAAGAATTAACAAGAAAGGAAAGCTAACTTCGGGCGGAGCCGAAGTTAATATACCCTTGCATGTAAAACCGGATATATATCGCAAACATCGGATATAGTTGTCCGATCCTTATGGGAATATGAATATATAATCCAATTTATTACAATACAAAATCTAAAAAAAGTCCCAAACTTTTATCTTCAAACATGCCAAAGTTGCTATTTCTACCAAAAACCATTTCCGATGGCTCAGTTATATGGCAGCTAAAAGATATAGTCGGACGATAGTTATGAAATTTGGTAGGTCGGATAAACTGACCAAAAATGTAATCTGTACCAAGTTCCAGCTTTCTATCTTAAAAAACACGAAAGTTTGCTCATTTCCGATCGTTCAGTTATATGGCAGCTATAGGATATAGTCGGCCGATCCCGGTCGTTCGGACTTATATACTGCGTGCAAAGGAAAGAAGGGTGTGTGCAAAGTTTGCGTAAAAACAGACAGACGGACAGACAGACGGACAGGCAGACGGACATGCTCATATCAACTCAGGAGGGGATCCTGATCAAGAATATATATACTTTATAGGGTCGAAGATGTCTCCTTCACTGCGTTGCACACTTTTGACCAAAATTATAATACCCTCTGCAAGGGTATAAAAAGAGTTGTTCTAAGTGAGCCATCATAGTTTTAAAACGTTGCAAGACTATCTTCTTTGATTCAGCCCCTGTTAAATAATTGTTCAAGCTAAATAAAAAAAACCAAGTCAATTCATGCGAAAGTTAACATCCTTATTTGTTGAAGTATGATTGTTGTCAATCGGATCGGATGTACGCAACTTTAATGGTTATCCGTGAATCCGCATCGAAAGGGCTACTAAGGGTCTTAGGCGCTTGAAAATAGTCGAAAATCATGGACATGACAGTCGCCTTTTTCCCGCACCCTCTATCCGCGTACTCTTGCGTGTAAAACATCTGAAGTGATTTGTAAACAAATTAAAGACTTGCACGTGTCAGCCTCGTTAATACTGGCTTTGCTCCGCCCTGGTGGTTTAGCCTTTGGCCACTATAGCGATGCGTGTGCGCCTTTGGCCGATACGGA